CAGGATTTGGTGTTGGTTGGGAGGACCCAAATGCAGAGGCAAGTAGGCAGAGGTGAATTTTGGTGGGTTTAATAAGGTTTACAGGAACTGAGGCAGGAATCAAAGATCCAACAAAATAACAACGAACCAGAACCAAGGAGACATCAGGAGAAACCAAACTCTAGGAGCCAGGGAGAGACGAGGTAAGCAGACAGACGTTAGACGAGGATCCAGCAAACAGGAACTGAAGAGGGAGGGCTTTTAAAGGGGACAGAGACAAAGAGAGGGCTAACGGGAGGATTGAAAACAGGTGAGGGCAGAGCAGAAAACAGAGCAAGGGAAAGAGGACACAAGGGGGCAGCAGAGGACAACAAATGGAAAACCAAGACTGTGACACTGTCCTGCTATTGCCATGGGGACATGATGGTCCTGTTATCTACGTACAATTGGCGAAGGCTTTTAGATGCTTGAACTTCTGCTAAAATCAGAGTTAATTAAATCTTTAGTTTAGTTACCCAGTCAATATCACCTGTTCTGAAACCAAAAAACTCTGAGTAGGGAAGAGAGGGTTTTAAACCTACTCAGAGTGACTGTTTTTTTGTTTCACTTTTACAATTCACAGAAGTTGTCATGTTTTTAGGCCATTAATTACAATAGATAAAGTCAGATAATTTAAGGGAACAACATTTGAAAGTTTGGGTGTATTCCTGGGTCTAACTATATACCTGTATTGATTTATTAGTACTATTGTGAATTTTTATAGCACTAGTGGCTCATTGTTTTCTACAGTCGGCAGACAGGAAAGGGGGTATGATGGAGGGGGAGAGACATGCGGCAAAGGACCACAGGCCGGATTGGAACCCGGGTCGGCCGCGTCGAGGGCTAAGGCCCCCGTACGTGGGCTTTGCACGCTAACCATTGCCCCACCTGCACGCCAATTAGTACTATTGTTAACCTGTAGATGTCACAGTCTTGGTTTGTTAGTTCCTGTTTTTCTTGGTTTTCCATTTGTTGTCCTCTGCTGCCCTCTTGTGTCCTCTTTCCCTTGCTCTGTTTTCTGTTCTGCCCTCACCTGTTTCCAATCCCCTCGTTAGCCCTCTCCTTGTCTCTGTCCCCATTAAAAGCCCTCCCTCTTCAGTTCCTGTTTGCTGGATCCTCGTCTAACTTCTGTCTGCTTTCCTCGTCTCTCCCTGGTTCCTAGAGTTTGGTTTTCCCCTGATGTCTCCTTGGTTCTGGTTCGTTTGTTAGTTTCTGTCGGATTTTTGATTCCTGCCTCAGTTCCTGTGAACATCATTAAACCCACCTAAATTCACCTCTGCCTACCTGCTTCTGCATTTGGGTCCTCAAAACCAACACCAAACCCTGACAGTAGAACTGCCTTGTAAAATTTGATTTAAGTACACCTAACTTTTATTAAGGTGCACCTAAGAAACTAAGTTGTAGCCATTTTGGTAAAAAAAAAGCAGAGAATGTCCGATGCACAGGAAAAGGAAGGACTGAAATTCTGGAAACCGGAACTGTTGCAGGCTCCTTTGGAAAAAAGGAAAGATTTTAATTAATACAAGACTTTTAGGAACATTGTGACTTATTCTTTAACTTATTTCTAACCCTAACCCTAACCCTTCTGTACAAAAGGACATAAAGGACAAAAGCATCAGCAAGAAGAGCAACAGTAGTGAATAGCTTCAAGTAGTAAGAGTAACATAACCCTGAAGTGTGTATTGGTGACTGATAGATTTCAATATATTCAAAAAGGAATAAGTTAGGTGGAGAAAGACTAAAGGGTTGATTAATAAATGCAGAGAAATGATAGTGAGGTGAACTAAGCCTTCCCAATAGAACATGACTATGGCTAAGGTCCAGTTTTAGGATTTCAACCTCAAATTTTTCTTATTAACTTGATTTTTACAACAATTTTTTTCTCTGAGAAAACAGGCATCCAAGAATGTCTGCCCTTTTGCTGGTTCTTTTTAACAAAGATCTGCAGTTAGCGCTCATCCCTCCATCATCATGAAGATTACAGTAAGTCAATAGTTGTAGAAGTCTGCTGGGAGGTCCTGTGTCACTGGGAACTCTCACTTCTTGTTAGCCATTGCACGGTCACAGTCTTTGATCAGCTCAGCTGACTGCTTAGCATGGCTTAGTGCGACACAGGTCTGAGAAATCTGGTGAGAGGAAGTAGATGCTAAAATGAGAGGTGAGATAACTGTACCCTGTTGAGGGACTGGAAGCGCAAACAGAGGAGATTTTAGAAGATGTTATTTTTTTCACATTTTTCCCAAATAGAAACCACAAACTTCATACTCTCAGTTTGGGACTCAATTTGTAAGTAGTGCACACTCATTTTAAATCATATAGTATGAAGAAAAGGATCACATCCCTTTAAAAGTGTGAAAAAAATGTGAAAAGTGATGCAGGCATTTGTATTTTTCCTCCTTTTTTCATTCCTTTGAATTAGTGGTTCCCAAGCCTGCTTTATAGGTGTCCCGTTTCTTCTCATTCACAGTAACATCAGTATACACTCACCGGCCACTTTATTAGGTACCCCATGCTAGTAACGGGTTGGACCCCCTTTTGCCTTCAGAACTGCCTCAATTCTTGGTGGCATAGATTCAACAAGGTGCTGGAAGCATTCCTCAGGGAGTTTGGTCCATATTGACATGATGGCATCACACAGTTGCTGCAGATTTGTCGGCTGCACATCCATGATGCGAATCTCCCGTTCCACCACATCCCAAAGATGCTCTATTGGATTGAGATCTGGTGACTGTGGAGGCCATTTGAGTACAATGAACTCATTGTCATGTTCAAGAAACCAGTCTGAGATGATTCCAGCTTTATGACATGGCGCATTATCCTGCTGAAAGTAGCCATCAGAAGTTGGGTACATTGTGGTCATAAAGGGATGGACATGGTCAGCAACAATACTCAGGTAGGCTGTGGCGTTGCAACGATGCTCAATTGGTACCAAGGGGCCCAAAGAGTGCCAAGAAAATATTCCCCACACCATGACACCACCACCACCAGCCTGAACCTTTGATACAAGGCAGGATGGATCCATGCTTTCATGTTGTAGACGCCGAATTCTGACCCTACGTCGTTCCAAAGCTCGATTATTGAAGCCAAACTGCAAACCTCCTCCTTCTTCCATCAACCTCCTTCCGCACACGCAGATCAACCGCAATCAGTGATGTTTTTTTGAGAATATCTGAGCACCAAAGTATGGAAGAGGATTAGGGCCACTGAAAAAAAAAAAGTTAACAGATTTTTTTTTATTTTATTTCAGTATAGTATGGGTATTCTCAGAAAGTCGGAATTCTGAGATTTAAGTCAGAATTCGGAGAGAAAAGTCAGAATTCTGAGAAAAAAGTCAGAATTCTGAGATAAAAGTCAGAATTCTGACTTTTTTCCCATGTTAAACTGAAATAAAATTTAAAAATCAGTTAACTTTTTTTTTCCAGTGGCCCTAATCCTCTTCCGTACCAAAGACTTATTTATATTTGATGTCATAAAACGATAGACTGACTATTCTCAGGCGACCACAACATTTGGAAAAGTGAACAACCACACAAAGCAATGGGAATTCCATAAAAATTGGAATTGAGCATTAAAGCTTACAGTGTGAATGTAGCCGATGTCGGCATTTTTTATGCTTCTTAGTGAATTCCCTGACTCCCTGAAGCCCCCACCACTTGATTCTTTTCTCTCTGATCTCCTCTCATGTCTCAGGTCAGCTGACCTCCTTGCCTCGATCATAACTTACTTTAACATGTTCAGTCTGGTTTGTAACGCAAACAGATCGCAACACACAAAAATAGGCAAACTATTGAAATGAACTGAAAACAATGAATACTTCCTGTAGTTGCATAAAAGTCTGTACTGCGATGTGATGCAAGGTGACACAGAATGAACATAAAAAATTAAGTTAACAATTTTCCACATTAAGGATAAGAAAGACCCTAACCCAGATGTGATAATCTGTGATAATTTAAGGTGGAATGTTTGCTGTGTATCCAAACAGAGCGGCTGTTTCTACGTTCTAATTGGCAGAATGGAATTAGCGTGTTAGCCTGGAAGCTAATTTAATGAGCTGACTTGTAGCAGAGCTGACAGTTAAACCAGCGGTGGGAAAATGGGTTGTTGCCCCCCCCACCACACACACACACACAGAGACAAACCTTGTCTACCTATCACTGTGGGGCCTTTCCATTAATTTCTGCAACCTAACTGTGACCCCTGACCCTAACCACTGCAGGTTCATACCTCACCCTGACCTCACCCTAAACTCTCCCCAAAAAGTAAGAACACATGTGTCCTTGTTTTAAGTACTAACTGAAGACCTTGAATTTACCATTTTTCTTTCATTTTCACACTTTCAATGACCCAACCCAAACCTAACCATTCTCATTACAAACCAAACCTAAACCTCAATGACACCTTAGTCCTAGACCTCTGGCCCCATCGAGGACCAGAGAAAGGTGCTCACTTCACATCAAATCCTTTACTTTACTAATAAAGTAAAAAACTAATTCTCACTCAGTAAACAAGTATGTACGGTTGGGTTAACCACTGTAAAACTTTCTCTGGGGTCTTCTGTGTTTCCATGGTGATGATCCCCTGGAGACAACAATTTACTGAGAGCTCGTCTGAACGTGACATGTCCTTTTCAGTAGCTGTATTGTTTCGGTGCTGATTTATAGACATTTGTTGCCCTTTACCATCTTCTCCAAACTTTGAGTTTTGATTGGCCAGTTTTTAACGATTAATTCATTTAATATCTAAATTCAAAAGCAAACCAGGTTTAAGCAACCGCTTTGTAAAAGTTAAGACAAAAATGTCTAAATGCCTTTTTCTAAAGCATGTTTCCACCTGACTAGCAGTTTTTTCCTTTCCTCTTGTGTTTCTCTTTAAACAATCTCTAGATCCCACAGTCGGTCCATCCCTCTTCCCACCCATGGGGCGTTCCTGAAACGCGCCTAAATCCAATCATGACTGAGCCCTGTTACCCATCCCCACATTTTTTTTTACTTTCTCCTGCTTCCTCTCACTTATCCACTTGAGCTTGCAACAGTTGAAAGGGTTCTAGTGAGGGGAGATCAGATGAGCAAAGGAAAGAAGGAGGGAACGGGAATAGAAGGAAGCCATGCAAACAGTGGGGCAACCCGGGGGTTTTGTTTAACAGGCCTAATCACAGACCAGCAAAAAACTGTTTGGTTTTGACTCATCCCTGGAGGGAAACCAAAGAGGACAAAATCTACCATACCTGGCAGAAAAGACGTCAAGCTGTGGGCACAGACGAAGAAGAAAATAACATCGTTTAAGTGGACAAATACTTAGAGGTGCAAGGAAGCGAGGAATTGTCGAGTAAGCAGCAGCAACGGCTCAAAGACGACCTGAAAAGAACTGAAGCAGCCTTAGTCCAGGCTAGATTAGACAGTAAAACAAAGTGTTAGAGAGACGATGGCCAACTCAGGTCTTCAGTTGTTGGGCTACTTTCTAGCGTTGGGTGGATGGATTGGAATCATCTCTACCACCGCACTTCCTCAGTGGAAGCAGTCATCCTATGCCGGGGACGCCATCATCACAGCTGTAGGTCTGTATGAGGGGCTGTGGATGAGCTGCGCTTCCCAGAGTACAGGACAGGTGCAGTGCAAGATCTTTGACTCCATGCTCTCCCTGGACTGTAAGTACAATGTTTGCTTTGATTTGTTAAACCACTCTGACATTTTTAAATTATAGAGGAAATAATCATCTGGTTAGCTTCTGGTTAGCTTCAACTTCAGGGACATCTCAAAGTTCTTAGATGCCTTAATTTCAGGTGGCTGTGAATAAAAGCTGACTGACTAATATATCCTTTAGAAAGGTTGTTTTCACATTTTCACTCTCCGTAAGTCACACAGGTTTCCAAGCTCTAAATCTCATTTTAAATCTCTAATGAATGAATATGGTTAGCTACGGAAGAGGATTAGGGCCACTGGAAAAAAAATAAATAAGTTAACTGATTTCTAAATTTTATTTCAGTTTAGTATGAACTGAAATAAAAGAATTCTGACTTTAATCTCAGAATTCTGACTTTTATCTCAGAATTCTGACTTTAATCTCAGAATTCTGACTTTTATCTCAGAATTCTGACTTTAATCTCAGAATTCTGACTTTTTTCTCAGAATTCTGACTTTAATCTCAGAAATTTGACTGAATTCTGACAATAAAAAAGTCAGAATTCTGAGATTAAAGTCAGAATTCTGACTTTTTTTCCCCCATGTTAAACTGAAATAAAATTTAAAAAAATCAGTTAACTTTTTTTTTCCAGTGGCCCTAATCCTCTTCCGTAGTTAGCTGATATGAGCCTCTGGTTAATCTTCTAAAAGGACTCATTCACTGAATTATGGATTATATTCTTTAGCCTGTCCTTATGTCTGCTCGTTGGTTTATAGATTCATGATAATGACGGATAATGAAACAGTGTGGAAGGAGAGAGCTGTTGAGCCCAATCAAAGCTCCATCAGATTAAGAAATAAACAAACTTAAATATAAGTGGTTTTAAAGGAGAACATAAATTGTGTATTGAGATATTTTCAGTATGAGTCTGGATGTTTGTATTATCCCTGAGCAAAAGGGCGGTGCTGAGGCAAACACTCAAGATATTCCTAAAATGAGTTCTGTCTCCGCTATAAACACTGCAAAAACGATCTAGAAATAAGTAAAAATGTCTTAAATTAAGTGTATTTCCCCTTAACTTGAGTCGGTAAATACGATGCTTTGCCAATTAAATTAGCATCTTTACTCTTAAAATAAGATAATTAGATAATATGAACTTTAAATAAGACAATGCAATTGTTTTTTCTTATTTTAAATGTAAATTTTGTTGTTCCATTTGCAAAGTGTCTCACTTTCATCCTCAATTGGAGAAAAAATGCACTTTCTTTAAGAAAAAATGACTTACTTAGATTTCCATTTTTTGCAGTGAACATCACAGCAATCCCTTTCAAACCATGATCTATGAGATATCTCACAGAGAAATAGGATTGCATTGACTGCGAGCTCAGAGCAGCAGGGAGGAATCTGGCAGTGAGCAGATGATGCCTTCTGATCTTGACGTTTTCACCACAGGAGCTTCATGTGACACTATGTTCACCAGACTGTGCTCTGTCTGCTTGAACTATCCAAACAGAAAGTATTACTCAGTTAACTGAGCTTCCTTTTTATCATCAAAACCAAGCTAAAAGCTGCTCTTCCTTTGGACGTAGTGCTGAAAGGACAGTTTGCTGCATCTACCCAACTTCTATCCAATAACCTGATTTATTGGTTGATTTAACTGAACTAATAAAGTCCAGTTATCTAGACATTGGAAATACTTCTGATGCTGTTCTTTGTGACGTATTTTCTAAAGACAGCAGTGGGTTTCTACGGAAGAGGATTAGGGCCACTGAAGAAAAAGAAAAAAGTAAACTGATTTTAAAATTTTATTTCAGTTTAACATGGGAAAAAAGTCAGAATTCTGACTTTTTTTATTGTCAGAATTCAGTCAAATTTCTGAGATTAAAGTCAGAATTCTGAGAAAAAAGTCAGAATTCTGAATTTTTTTTTTTAACCTTTATTTAACCAGGAAGTCCCATTGAGATTCAGAATCTCTTTTTCAAGAGAGACCTGGCCAAGGTAGCAGCCAGACCACAGGAAGTTCATACATATTTACAACATATTACATTTTGCAAAATAAAAAATAAAGAATTAAAAAATTAAAAACATAAAAAAATAAAATCAGAGCAGTATGTTAAAACACATTGAGCATCTCAAGATAAACAAGCACATATCTCCATCACTACATTCTTCATGGTTGCTTTAAATTCATTAATGGACACGAGAGTTTCTAATTTGAGCTCTTTCTGATTTTCCCCCATACTATACTGAAATAAAATTAAAAGAAATCAGTTAACTTTTTTTTTTTTTTTTCAGTGGCCCTAATCCTCTTCCGTAGGTTTCAGACTTGGTCCTCCCTGTGCTGGATGTTTTAGACGTTTTCCTCTGCAGACCTAAGTATCTGCTGAGAAGGTCGTAAAATCATTGAATGCAATTTTACCGAAGCAGAGCTGCATCTAAAACCTGAAGGGCAACGGGTCACAGGGATGAAATCCTTTAAGTTTCATCTGCAATGATTGATGGCAATGCTAATTAGGTTCAATTTTTACAACGAACGTCTAATGTTTGGCAAATTAATAAAGTGGTATTTAAAAGCCGTTTTGCAACTGCTCCGTCACAAAGCCACAAAGACGACTCATGATTTGTGGAAACAATTATCTTTTATTTGATCCATGTATGAAAACCACTGGTATGAAACTGGCAAAGGAAACTTCTAAGTTCTGTTCTAGTTTTCCAGGTTATCATCTGGGTGGATCTTAAATGGATTCAGGTTTTCTTCTCTGTCTCAGTTCATTTCAGGAAAATATATATAAAAAAATTACTTTCTTTGAGTGGTATTTACAGCGAGTAATGGGTGTGACACTAGAGTACGGGTGAAGGAATGCTTTAGCTTTAAAAACATTTCCCAGCCGTTGCATCACATGTTATGGTGGCCCCAGCCGGCCCTTACATGTAGGGGGCCATTGTGAGCCTGTGACGCATCAAAGCTCCTGGCTCGGGCTTTTTTTGTGAGAACGGTGAGAGTTTATGTCCTTTATTTAATTTGTAGGTAGAACAGTTAGGCTCAGTTTAATTGAAGCGTCCTTTTAACATCTCTCCACGCTGTTGGCTTAGTTGGTTGATCTTTTCTCATGCAGCTGTAGATTTTGTTCTGAATAGTCAGAAGTGACATAACAATGAGATCTCACATCGCCTGCACAAACACGCGTGCTTACAGGCACCAGCAGACGCACTGACAGTTTGTGGCTGGCAGTACCAGCCTTACCCCCCCCCCGTTACTCACTGTGACTGGCAGTGTGTGTTAATGAAACCTCTCTCTGCTCAAATTGTTTAAACATTTAAACAAACTGAGCTTTTGAACAATAATTGATTCAAGTTATTCCTCTCATAAATTGCTCTGCGTGTTTCATTGCGTCCGTCGGCTCCCTCCATCTTTCTATCTCTTATGATTCATAATGTTATTTATTCCGTCCTTTGGCCTTTTTCATTTCAGTGACCACTGGTTGCTACACAGTATATCTGTAAACGGCCCTGATGGAGGAATTAATGCCTCTGTGAAAACAATCCAGCTTTGTTACAAAGCCACACTGGTTTCTCTGTGTGGTGCACGTAGAACACCACGTCCTACGGCTGCCAGAGAAAGAGCATCATCTGTGCCTGTCCCACCTACGGCCAGTGCATTGTGCACTTTGTATGTGTGCATGAAAGCATGTGGTGGTTCTGTTTAATTTTCTTCCTCCCACTAAGTTATGTGTGTGCTGAGGCGAATGTGGGCAATGTGTTCACATTTTTAAACAGCAAAGCCGCTCTGGAATGATGATTTGGAGGATCGTATGGAATCCCACAGCTTGGCTAGATAGTCCGCCTCTATGAAATTAAAAGTTTGAAATAAATATGTTGTGAAAAGTGGGACAGTGTTATGGTTAGACCTCTGCAGCATCTGCATCTTAATTCCTTTGCAATTACCGCCCTAATGTCCAGGTTTATGTGTTTTCTTCCAGTAAAACAGTGAAACGCTTGTTATTGTTTTTAACATTATCAAACTGCACTGCAAAAACGATCTAGAAATAAGTAAAAAATGTCTTAAATTAAGTGAATTTACCCTTAATTTGAACAGGTAAATGAGATAGTTTGCCAATGGAATGAGTATTTTTAGTCTTAAAATAAGATAATTAGGTAATATGCACTTGAAATAAGACAATGCAATTGTGTTTTCTTATTTTAAGTGTAAATTGTCTTGTTCCATTGGCAGAATGTCTCTTTTAGCTCCTCAATTCAAGAACAAATGCACTTATTTTAAGAAAAAATGACTTATCTAGATTTAGATTTTTTGCAGTGTGTTTGTTTGTTGTTTTTTTACATTCAACATAATCTTCTTTAACCATCTGTTACAGCACCAACCCATCCTCCGTCTTACATTTCTTTTTACTCCATTATTCAGTCCACATCCAGACATGCCGCGCTCTCATGGTGATCTCTGTGCTGCTGGGCTTTATCGGCATCATCGTCAGCGTCGTAGGGATGAAGTGCACCAAGGTTGGAGATAACAACCCTTCCACCAAGACCCGTATTGCTGTTTCTGGAGGGGCTCTCTTCCTGCTCGCAGGTCTGAATTGATCATTTCTTCTCACTAACTAAAAAAAGGAATGCATTTCCTTCTTTAACGTGAAGTTCTTCCCTTTTTCTAGCCTGAAACTAGGATTCTGTTTTGCAGTTAAGGTCCCAACTGTAAACAGGAAGTGGTCATTTATCTGCTGACCTCAGACATAAATTAAACTCATTCCTGAGGGGAACGTGACCCAAACACAGATCCTCACTCTTCCAAATCTGTTTTGTTGTAGCATCTCTTTTAAAAAAAGGAGACAAATCAAAACCAAATATCCTGTTTCTTCCTTTGCAGGTCTCTGCACACTTGTGTCCGTGTCCTGGTATGCCACTCAAGTGTCCTACCAATTCTTTAACCCAAATACACCGGCCAATGCAAGGTATGGTGATGCTCATCTTACATCTCTTTCTTGTTTAGAGCAATTTTTAACCTTTAACATTTCCCATCGAATACATTATATTAAGATTTGAAGTAGGAAACCTTCCTGCCTGCCTAAAAAAACATGTACTTTTTAAACTTTCAACCATTATCTCTATGAAACATAAATCAAACACATAATAGCAGCTAAACAGGTCAAGAAATCCAAATGTATAATAAATCAGATCAGTCTTCATTAGATCTATGAAAAAATGGTAAATCCTTATTATCAGAGAGACAACATTGGAAACATTTGAAAGGAAATAAAATGACATTTATTTTCAGAGAATTTGCATTTTACTTAAAAAGTAAATGAATTAAGTGTAACTTACTCCAAACTGATTTTTTTTAGCTAATTCAATTCAATTCAATTCAGTTTATTTATATAGCGCCAAATTCACAACACATGTCATCTCAAGGCACTTTACAGTTCAACCAGATCATACAGTCAAATTGATACAAAGTTTTCTATCTAAGGAAAACCAGTTGATTGCATTGACTCATTGACTCAAATACAATCCCCCACACTAAGCATGCTTGTAGCGACAGTGGAGAGGAAAAACTCCCTTTTAACAGGAAGAAACCTCCAGCAGAACCAGGCTCAGTGTGAGCGGCCATCTGCCGAGGCCGACTGGGGTTCAAGGAGACAGAAGCAGCTAATAAAGAGTGTTGTGCAACTTTACCAGAAGATTCTGAAAAATGAAATAACTAAGTTTATAGTTAAATAATAGGTCATTCAAATCAAGGGCAAAACAAATTAATTATTATTAGTAGAATGATTATATCTGTAATTTACTTACTGACCAGGGTTCTTAGTCTCTTCCATAAAAGGTTGGACTCCTTAATCTGGCTGTTAAAATCCAGTTGTCTTTAATGAATTTAGTAATTTAGTCTATAGCTATCAGCCGATTTATTAATCACCAACCAGATAAATGTGTCTCTGTTTATTCGGATGCTACTGAAAGAGGAGTGAATCCAGCCTGAGTGATAAACTGTCCACTGCTTAAAATAAAAAAGACCACGAGTTAAAAATACAATGGTAGCTTTACAGAGATGGGAAGTAACGAAGTACAAATACTTCGTTACTGTACTCAAGTAGATTTTTCTGATATTTTTACTTTACTTTACTACTTATTTTTATGGCGACTTTATACTTCTACTCCTTACATTTTTACACAAATATCTGTACTTTCCACTCCTTACATTTGAAAAAAATGGCTCGTTACTTTAGTTTTGAATCATTTCAATGGAGTTACCGTTATTATTTTTCACGTCATCAATACCAAATTCAATCTAATTGGATGGGAATCTACGTTGCATTTGACGCACCACTACAAGATGAATCCACAGATTCGGCGGTATTCATTGGCGGCAAATCATTGCAGCTTGGTGGCGGTGGCGTTAGCATAGTAGCATGGACGACGAGATGATTGAAAATGAACACAACGGAGATCTAGTCCTATTGGCAGACATCCATTTAAAATGTAGGCAACGGCATGAAAAAAGTGGTTTCTACTTTTACTTTTATACTTTAAGTACATTTACAAGCCTGTACTTTGTTACTTTTACTTGAGTAAAGAAGTTTAATCAGTACTTCCACTTTTACCAGAGTATTTTTTAACACAAGTATCTGTACTTTTACTCAAGTATGGAAAGTGAGTACTTTTGCCATCTCTGCAGCTTTATTAGCTTCACGCAGTATTAGATGTAATAACTACGCAAACACTAAACACTACTCAATGTAAGCACACATAAACAAATAAAAGGTGTTTAAGAGTAATTAAAAGTGTCCTTTAAAATGAGAGCAGATAAATGTGAATAAACCCTGACGCAGAGATGTTGCAGTCAAAACAGTGCATTTTCCTTCGGTTTTATGGTGAAAAGTGAACAATGACTCAGGAATGCATTAGACCGGGATGCTGAAAGAGAAATGGGTTAGCTTAGCTGGTCCCGGGTATCTGGTCTGGACGGTTCCAGCTGAAACAGATAAACGGTTTGCTCCCATGACTCTACCAGGATTCCCGCGGGTCCTTGAAAAGTCTTATAAGGCATTGAATTCTTCAAAATAAAACTAAGGCCTTAATTGGTATTAAAATGTCTTAAATCAGTCTTTCGTAGGTCTTAATTTTTAAAACCTCACAAAAAGGATTATTTTTATTATGATTTATTTTGTAATCTAAATAAAACATTAAAATTTACCTTTTTTTATTATTAAAAAAAATAAGGGCTCGCCAATATTGGTTCCGTCCCGATAGCGGAACCAATAAAAGCGTTGTTGTGGCCAGGACATTTGGGAGATGCACCATTAACTTTCTGTCTGGAAAATATGAGCAAGTGTAAATGTAACCAAAATTGTCTCCAGCCAAGAGTTTTCTCCATGGCTAAAACCAGGGAACATACATGAGGCACAAGAAGTCATTGAAGCTCAGAACGATGGGAATTAAGGCAGTGGAGTCGCACATGCGAAGCACGAAACACAAACCATCAAAATCGAGTTACCGCGAAACAGCCATTATTTCTCAGTTTAGTTCCACCCTTGTCTCTGCAACGCCTCCACTTATCACCAAATTAAACATACTAAGAAAACCATACAAAGAAAAATAGCTGCTAAAAAGACTTAGCACTGGTTATGTTGGGGCTTTAAAACTGATTGTTTAGTTCCCTGCTAAAACAAAGTTTGTGAATTCAGTTAAATAATTGTTCAAATATATCTGTCATTTGTGTGTTTTTAGCTTTCTTCCTGTATGGGAAGCTTTCCAAAATTTGAAACATTAGTGCAGTGGTTTATGTTATAATAAAGCTTTGGGTTAAGTTGTCGCAAGCAGGTTTTTCTTGTGTTTCTTGTGAATTTGGTCTTAAATTTTTATTTCAAGTGGCATTAAAAAGTCTTGAATTTAACTCGCCTTACGCTGTAGGAACCCTGTCTACAACATACCCGTAATAAGCTAGTTAAGGATGCTATCCAGTCTACTGGATAGCATCCTTAGATGCAAAGGAGGAAGGATGATGTTACTATTTTAGTTCTATGGACTGTAACGCCTCGGTTTTTGGTTCGGTTTTGTGCAGGCCCCGGTCTTCAACCCAGTCCGTTCGTTCAACAGCAGCTTTCTAAAAGATTTGGATAAATTTGTTGCAATAAAAAGAGGCAACTTTGCTTAATTTTATTAACTCACAGTAGCACAGGACATCTCCCTTTTGCTACAGTGGTTAGCTTGTAGTCGCGGCTTTTAAGCAGCGGCTCCATGGGGTTGCTCATAGTCTCAGGCGGGAGCAGTCAAGGGTCTGGCGACTAGTGGCGGCTTCTAACGGCGGTTAGATTTAGGTCAGCAGAGCTGGATTAGCTGCACCACTGGGTTGCATTAAATGACTTGTGCAGCTGAATATTACATTCCATAAAATGATTTTACGTAGTGGCTAAATATTATAATTGATTAGCCTGTTCAGAGCTTGTTTTGAGTTTGCTTTTAGTTAAACCAGTTAAGAAGGGCGCCACCTTTTGTGGTTAAATGGTCGAAGAGTTTCTGCTGTTGAGCTGGAGGTTTCTTCGTGTTCAAAGGGAGTTTTTCCTCTCCACTGTCGCTACAAGCATGCTTAGTGTGAGGGATTGCTGAAGAGTCAATGAGTCGATGCAATCAGCTGGTTTTCCTTAGATAGAAAACTTTGAATCAATCTGACTGGATGATCTGGTGAACTGGAAAGTGACCTGAGATGACATGATGTGAATTGGAGCTATAGAAATAAACTGAATAGAATTGATAAGGCTTCTCAGTTCTTTTGGGTTAGGGCAGATTTGTTGTGGTACCATCAGCTGTCAATTTAGGAGTTGTTGGATTTTAATGTTTTGTTCCTTTTTTCTTTTTTTCCTCATTTTTTATGAACTTGTCAGCAACTTTTTCTGTGACTTGTTTGGTTTTTATGTGTGACGTCTCTTGCATTACAGTGCACTTCATTAGTGATTTATAAAAAAGAACAAATCATTGTGTGATTGACATAAAACAAGTCTGAGCCAGTCAGAAGTTAGTTGGACCTCTGAAATCTAATAATTACGACTATCCAAAGATTTACCACCAGAGTTTGAACCTTCTAATTTAAATTGCACCGTTTGGGAATTCTTATTGTTGTTGAAACCAACCGAATGTAGAATTAGCCTTGGTCATGGAGGTGTCAAACTTTCAGACACAGAGCAGTTTAAGCCCCATGGGAGTGACAGCCAAATATGAACAAAATTCATATTCAAATTTTGTTACTTATAAACTCTACATGTCAATAAATAAATTCATTCAAGAATATCCAGATAACAGTATTTTTTAAGCAGCAGTGAAAACATTTTTACTGTGGCTAAATCTTAGCTGTTAATCTTTGAGTGCAGCGCGATCTGGTTGTGAGCAATGATCTTTATTATTCACGGGTCCATGTGTTCCTGGCCGAGTTTTACATTTTTGTTCCAGGGTTTTGTTGTCATTCCAATGTCACCAGTACAGAAAAACCAAATTAACCTTAACCCTTCCCCTTGGGGAGCAGCAGGCTGCCATTGTGCAGTGCCTGGGGAGCAGTGTGGGGTTAAGGGTCTTGCTCAGGGACCCAGAGTGGCAGTCTGTGGGAGTGGAGGATTGAACTCACAACTTCAGGATTCCAAGCCCTATGCCCTAACCACTAGGCCGCCACTCACCACTGTATGGAAGTAGTTGACCATGAAGTTGCCTGAATTTATTGCTTAAAAAAATATCTGATGGTGAGCAACCACAAAATATCAGTAAAACGTATAGAGGAGATTTGTTTATTTCCAGGTGGATCGTCTAAATCAGTGGTCCACCTAACTGTCAATCATTATAGTATCTTAAATGCTCGTCCCCGTTTTCACCGCTGGTGAGTGTGACATTGTGGAAAAATTGCAAATCCTATTTTTGGAAATAAAGCTTGTATGAGCGATGCAGTTAGGGACTTTTAAACAGAGCGTGCACGAGGAGAAATGGGCTCGCCCTTGCACTCGTACAGGGTTGTGGATGTGCATTTTTATTAATTAAAAATGGAGGAGGTGGGTCTTTTGAAAAATTCACGAAAATCCTCCACTATACCTTTAATGTTGAAGAAAACTCAATGTTTTAGTTCTTACTTTAAAATACAATTTAATGTGTTAAAGATATTATTTAATTAAATTTTTTATTCAGCTTTAACTGATTATTTTCTATCCCAGGATAATTGATCTTATAGGCATAAAATAAAAAAAAAATAAAAAAAAGACCAAGGACCAACTTATTATAACTTGATTATTTTTATTAGTGAAACTGTAATTTTAACAGAAATGTACATGTTTTTATAGGATATGTTTTTGCCGGTTTTATAAACCACCAATGTTTTTTTTTTTTCCTTTCTTCTTCTATTTTTCTGCTCTACTTACATTGCAGTGTCCATAAAGCAATTTATATGCATGAAACAAGTGGAGCAATATAGCAATTGCCGTTCTGCTACACTTGTGAAAGTAAAATCTGTTGGGCTCTTTTATTATTCTTATTGCCACATTGCCAGACAGGACACTGTAATAAAAATAAAAATAAAAAATAAACCACCAATGTCACAGTTTTCCGCAGTCTGAACCATCATCTCATATTTTATCAGACTTTTATGTCATTTTCCAGCCAGGTAGACTTTCTATAGCAGAAGCAGTCACTACTTCTCTAAGGACAATTCTATATATTTTTGTATAACCTTCCTTCATCTAATTATGTCAGAATTTTCCAGACTCCCATTGCACAGCAAATAAGGCCTGGACTGTCAGCAATGTGAAGGACCTCCTCTCTTAATCAAAAAGGGTTTCAGAGCTGGAAACTTCAGAGCTGAAATGCATGAAGAGCAAACTCAAAGTCTTGCTAAGCTGCTTACAGGAAGAAAGGGGACTTTAATCCCTGCATAAAACAAATTGCCAATGGAATGAGTATTTTTACTCTTAAAATATGTCAGGATCTGGTGTTGGTTTGAGGACCCAAATGCAGAGGCAAGTAGGCAGAGGTGAATTTAGGTAGGTTTAATGAGGTTTACAGGAACTGAGGCGGGAATCAAAAATCCAACAGAAATAACAGACGAACCAGAACCAAGGAGACATCAGGGGAAACCAAACTCTAGGAGCCAGGGAGAGACGAGGTAAGCAGACAGACGTTAGACGAGGATCCAGCAAACAGGAACTGAAGAGGGAAGGCTTTTAAAGGGGACAGAGACAAAGAGAGGGCTAAGGAAGGAATTGGAAACAGGTGAGGGCAGAGCAGAAAACAGAGCAAGGGAAAGAGGACACAAGGGGGCAGCAGAGGACAACAAATGGAAAACCAAGACTGACAAAATAAGATAATTAGATAAAATACACTTGAAATAAAACAATGCAATTGTGTTTTCTTATCTTATATTGTAAATTTTCTTGTTCTATTGGCAAAGGGTCTCATTTTCCTCCACATTTCAAGAACAAATGCACTTATTTTAAGAAAAAAGATGAAGATGTTTTGCAGTGTATAGACCTCCTGACCTTATTCACAGATCATCCGATTATCATGACTTAACATGCAGTGATAAAGAAACAGCAACAGGAAAATTAAACATTCCTTTGGATGAATAATATCCCAGCATGTATAATGTAGAGTAGAGCTCCGACTATCGACGTCAGCAAAACTGTAAAAATCCGACCAACTGTTCCGACTGACTGTAAATGCTTCTGTCTTCTTCTACTCTTTCTGTCCAGGTATGAGTTTGGCTCAGCTTTGTTCGTGGGCTGGGCTGCCGCCAGTCTGACCGTCCTCGGCGGCTCGTTACTGTGCTGCTCCTGCTCCAGAGACAACATGCGAGGGCAGCCATATTACCACCAATCACAGCCTTCCACAGCAAGGGAGTACGTGTAAACCCCACTGTCCATTAGGTCCCAAACAGAGAGCAAAGGACACGCTTGCTCCTCCTATCCTTACTTTTCTCTCAGACAATGAAAGATAGAGCAAAGCAGAAGACTTTTATTTTGTACACTTGTACACAGTATTTAATGTTACATGATGTGATGCTAACGCAAGGATTTGAAAGCTTTAATTAAACTCAAACAGCAAACCAAGACTTCTTTGTACGGAACCAGAATGTAAATCATCTCATGATAAAAAACGAAAGATTATAGATTCTATCTATCTATTATAGATGTTGGACTTGGTTCTTGGCAGAGATGGGAAGTAACAAAGTACAAATACTTCGTTACTGTACTCAAGTAGATTTTTCTGATATTTTTACTTTACTTTACTACTTATTTTTATGGCGACTTTCTACTTCTACTCCTTACATTTTAAAAAATTGTCTCGTTACTTTAGTTTTGAATCATTTCAATGGAGTTACCGTTATTATTTTTCACGTCATCAATACCAAATTCAATCTAATTGGATGGGAATCTACGTTGCATTTGATGCACCACTACAAGATGAATGGACAGATTCGGCGGTATTCATTCGCGGCAAATCATTGCAGCTTGGTGGCGGTGGCGTTAGCATAGTAGTATGGACGACGAGATGATTGAAAATGAACACAACGGAGATCTAGTCCTATTGGCAGACATCCATTTAAAATGTAGGCAACGGCATGAAAAAAGTGGTTTCTACTTTTACTTTTATACTTTAAGTACATTTACAAGCCTGTACTTTGTTACTTTTACTTAAGTAAAGAAGTTTAATCAGTACTTCCACTTTTACCAGAGTATTTTTTAACACAAGTATCTGTACTTTTACTCAAATACGGAAAGTGAGTACTTTTGCCATCTCTGGTTCTTGGTTCCAAAACCAAGAACAAAAACATATTTTGTGGACAATTAAATTACTATAAGCTGAATTCACAGGAATAGAAATAACAAAGTGAAAGAAGGTAAATATAGTTTAAAAAGCAAAGAACCTGATTTAAAGGCTGATTTAAAGTCTTTGCCTGCATGTCCTATGCTGCCTGGTTGGACTCTTTTCTGATTTCTTAATAACTTGTTGATTTCCACTTGGTGCAGTAAGGTTGTGAGAAAGTCATTAGAAATATTTACAGTGTTAATTAGTAGAAATGTCAGATATTTTATCCCCAGTGGGCTCAGATGTAACTTTCTGTTTTAAAAAATAACCTCCTTGTTTTCATCGACTCAAATCGGACACAATCTGAACTGCGACAGTGGAAATTAGGTTTTATTTTAATTAGGTTATTGTTTGATCTCTAATGATTATTACATTCTGCATAAAGATGTGAAATTCTCATTACATTTGATTTATTAACACTTAATGTCCTAATTAAAACACAGCAGTACATTTAAAAGCGATTTAAAAAAGCAATAAGGTACGTTTTGAAGGACTTAAACATTATAATTTAAAATAGGAAAATACGCTATTGGTAAGTTTTAACTAAACGCACATGTTGAATTTATTCACAGAAACAATAAAATACTGGATTTGAGTAGCAGCTGCCACCTTCATGCATACAAAAACAAACATTACTTCCTACCCCCCCGCCCCCCCACATTAAATTGCCTCTTGAGTTCCTTCCTTTGCTCCTACATCACTTTGCTGTCATTGGTGTTTGTGAAAGAGCTGCGTCATTCCTGTTCTTGATAATAAAGCTATTAACTTTTCCCAGAATGTCACAGTCGCTCCTTCTCCCTGCATCCACTCTTCCTTAGAGACACTTGTTCCTGGAATGCCTTGTTTTCCTCCGGGAATACTGTGGGAAAGTCCTTTTCTCCTTTAAACAAGAAAGAATGTAAAGCAAAGTAGAAAAAAAGCTTCCAGGTTTTTATGCAACCTCGACTATGAAAAGCTTTCTGTCAAATAACAAACGACAGAAGAGTCAATATTTTATATTTTTAGCAAAAAGTTAATGTATTAAAAATATTTCACCATAAATGCTGCAGTTGAAGATAAAGTTTGCTAAGCAGCTTAGAGAATAAGGGTTTAGCAAAATAAAAAACAGGGTAACAAAAACAGAACAATTCTTTAATCTATAACAATAATTTTAGTTTAGATTTAGCAGGGACATCATGAGTGTTCAGGGTTTTATTCACTATCTAAAAGGAAGATGTAGATAAGTGGACTGTAGCTGCTAATAAAAAATAATACTTAAAACACTTCAATAAACTTTGTGTCATGTTGGGTACAAGGCGTCTAAGGTCCCGTCCACACGAAGTCAAAACGAACACGAAACGCTAATATCTTCCAGAACGTTTTTCGTAAAGACGGAGACGTAAAATAAATGTGATCGACCACATGAATGCATGAAAACGTTGCAAAATGTATGCCAGGCCTGTAAGTGGCGCTGTAGTGCCAAAGCAAAAATAGGCGAAAACAGGCAACGAAATGTTGGGCATGCGCACTAATATTTATACATGGTTGCCCTGCGGGTCCATTTTGGTGGTTCAGTCAAATTCAGGTGCTGAACTATGTGGTCGATATTGCTCTGTTCTTCCTGGAGATATTCCAGAAGAAGAAGATTCTGTTGTAAGCCCGACAGCAGGGTGAGTAGCATGAGCAGCAACCATTCAACACAGTACGGCGCCATTGTTGTTGTGATACTGTGTCGCGCATGCGTGTTTAGAGGCGACGCTATGACGCATGCGTGTAAGAAAAAAAATGCGGTTAGAGCTTAAAGATGGAAACGCGAAAACGGCGTTTCAAAATCTTCCCACTCTGAAGGCTGAATAAACAAAAGATCGTTTACAGACCCCGAAACTCCGGCTTTGTATGGATGAGAGGCTGGTTTGGTGAAAAATTAGTGCGTTTAGGCCAGGGTTCGGCTTCGTGTGGACGGGGCCTAACCCCCATGGTCTTGCTATACCATTACTGGCAAACACTCTAGCAGGGAAGTGTCAGCCTCCTCCTCCTTAAATAGGTCTCCTGATGAGCAGACAGGAAACAGGTGTGTAGGAGTAAGCTCATGCCCTCAGGAGGAAGATCTCAGGCGCCCTCTGGTGGAGAAAGTGGACAAGCCTCCAGATCCCAACACTTTGAAAAGAATTACAATTTTAAAGTTGCCAAAGTGCAATTAGTGGGAAGAAAGTAGATGGAGGTCAAACAGCTAATCACAGCGTTTTAATTCATTTTAAATATCTGCAACTGTAAGTAGAATATTTAGTACATATAAAACATCTTAATGGATATTGAATATCTCCTCTTTTGCAAAAGTTTCTGAGCTTGATGCCGTTTCTTAACTGAAATGTTTTTCCTCAATGTTTTTTGTACATCGTTGCTCTTTGCTGAATAATTTGTCTCACTGCGTTAAACTAAGTCTGCTCTTAATTCAGCAAATAGATTAGATAATAGTCTGATTTTTGTGGAACATTGTTGCTTTTTAAATATAAAAAACAATTTATACTTGTTTATATCTTGTAGTTGTTTTGAACCTATGCTATGTTTTAACCTATTCTTAAACTGATGATCAAGGTTTAAAAATGTTTTTGATAATTTGGACCATTAGTATCAGGTAGTATAGCCATATATCCCTTGGATATAACCATTTAGGACCAAGCCCCTGAAATTGCTTAACAACAAAGCAAAAAATACCTCAAATTGGCAGTAATTCTTTCTGCAGATGTTGAAGTTTGCAGGGCCTCCAACATCCTCCCAAAGCTGCAAAAATATACATGTTTATGTATACATAGTTCTGATGTGGCAGGTAACATCTGCAGAAATAACTCAGTGTATCTATCTCATTATATGTGTTGATGGCTTTCCATTCTGCACAGACTCCAAGTCTCCACCAAATAAACTTTGTTATAATAGTTGATTAGAGCACTGAATAGATGTATTTTGTTTTTGTTTTTTCATATTTTTTTTTTGTTTTTTCATATTTTTGAAACACCTAATCTTGCTGGCTTCTGAAAAAAAACTTATTTTCAGCTCTGGGACACGTTATATTGTCAGGATTTGGTGTTGGATTGAGGACCCAAATGCAGAGGCAAGTAGGCAGAGGTGAATTTAGGTGGGTTTAATGAGGTCCACAGGAACTGAGGCAGGAATCAAAAATACAACAGAAATATCAACGAACCAGAACCAAGGAGACATCAGGGGAAAACCAAACACTAGGAGGCAGGGAGAGACGAGGACAGCTGACAGACGTTAGACGAGGATCCAGCAAACAGGAACTGAAGAGGGAGGGCTTTTAAAGGGGACAGAGACAAAGATAGGGCTAACGAGGGGATTGAAAACAGGTGAGGGCAGAACAGAAAACAGAGCAAGGGAAAGAGGACACAAGAGGGCAGCAGAGGACAACAAATGGAAAACCAAGAAAACAGGAACTAACAAACCAAGACTGTAACATATATTATTGTTTCTGACCATGGACTGTCAGCAAATAAGTAGTTTAAACATAAATGTTTTTCAAATATTTATCAAGACAATATTATTCAGATAAAGTCCTATTAGATCCTTGGATCTTGAGTTCACTGAAGTTGTTAGAAAACACCTGGAAAGTGGATCTTCTGTGAAGCTTTAAAACCTTATTAGGTGTCAAATTCAGGAAACAAAGTCACTGATAACATTTCAGAAAAATCTACATTACGAAGATAAACCAGTTTCAAGTTCCCTTTAACATAAAGTTAAAGTTTCGGCTTTCACCGATTAGACGAGCCCTTTGTGAAGTAAAAAAATGTTATTAATTTAAAAAGAAAAAAAGCAAGGTGAAAAAGTTCAAAGGCTTTTTTTTCAATGTTACGTTAAACAGTTGATGAGCTAAGTAAAAAATTAGCTTTAATAGTCTAAGGTTATGATGCAACAGAAAATTTGTTTTTCATGCATTTCTTATTAAAGCAATTTTATTTATTTATTTTACATATTAGCATAAGTGAGCATTTCTTGTTTTTACATTGAGTTAAATTTTTGCCATCAAGATAGACATATTTTTTAAAAATTACAAAAGTAATAAGGTCCTGTCCCGTATAATAAAAAATAAAGCATTTAACCTTAAAGGTTTGGTTTCATAGCTGTGATGTCATAAATGGGAAAACTTATCTTTTATTGTTAAAACTGGAACAAGGTGAAGTTGAATGAATCAGGTTGTTATTGTACAGTGTTTGGAGACTAATTTTTCGAAAATCATATTTCATCTGTGATGTATCTATCTATGGAGCCCCTCTGATGACATGGTCAAAAAAAATTTTAATTGTGGCCACGAAGTAGTATTTCGTGCACACGTTAAACTTATTGCGTGGCCATGAAGTAGTATTTCGTGCGCACGAAATACTACTTCGTGGCCACGCAATAAGTATAACGTGTGCACGAAATACTACTTCGTGGCCACGCAATAAGTTTAACGTGCGCACGAAATACTACTTTGTGGCCACGCAATAAGTATTTCGTGCGCATGAAATACTTAATAATATTAATATCATTTCTGGACAACTGGGTAAGCAAATCGAGCGTGCCTTCTCTAAGGTCTAAGGCGCGCTCGATTTGCTTACCCGGTTGTCCAGGAATTATATTAATATTATTAATAAGTATTTCGTGCGCACGAAATACTACTTCGTGGCCACAATTAAAACATTTTTTTGACCATGTCATCAGAGGGGCTCCGTATCTATCAGTTGGCAAGTATCAAAACTAATATTGAATTCTACCTTTGTACTAACACTGCACGCATCATTAAAGTGTGTAACATTAGTATTGATGTTTCCCTTACGTCCCGTCCTGTCTCACCCTCTTCTTCTGATTGTCTTCTCTCCTCTAATTCAGGGCAGAGTTGTTGAGTGAAACTAGCTTCCCTGACTGATCGAGGACTTTCTGACTGTCCAACCACTGAATTTCCTTTTCACCGTCCGTTTACACTGTTTGCCCCAAATTTTAATTCCTGTTTGTCATATTTGTAATATAGAAGTGTTGGAAACATATTCTTTCACTCCACCATATTTGAGTCTTCAGTGTAAATATAGATTATTAAAGGATATTTGAGCTTTTCATTGAGAAATCATTTATTGTCCTCATCACCTCCCTTGATTTGAATCATAGCAATGTGCTGCTTTGCCGTGTCAACTATATCCAATGATCCCTGGGTGTTGAAAATGTATTTTACTGGTTTCATTTGTTCAATATGGTTGTATTTTGACTGAAACCTGTTTTTTTCCCCTCTGAATTGCAGACCAAATGTTAAAAGTACCCCACCAGAGAAAAGGGAGCAGTACTTGTAGTTTGGGAGAGTCTTCTGGCCTTTTCCATGGCTTAAAAAACTCCCATTGAGGAATACAGACGAACACATTTCTGAACTGAACTCTAAGAAATTGCAGAAGAATAATTTTGTGGGTTATAGAAAAGACTTGTGGGGTGGGGGGTGTTTGGGTGGGGGGGTCATAAATTTAAGTGTTAGGGGTTACAGATCAGAACATTGACGTTGTTAACTTTGGGGAAACTCATCCAGGATATGTTTTATATAACATATTTAAAGGTATGTGTATATACATTATATCTACATCTATCTATATATATATATGGAAGAGGATTAGGGCCACTGGAAAAAAAAAGTTAACTGATTTTTAAATTTTATTTCAGTTTAACATGTGAAAAAAAGTCAGAATTCTGACTTTAATCTCAGAATTCTGACTTTTTTCTCAGAATTCTGACTTTAATCTCAGAATTCTGACTTTAATCTCAGAATTCAGACTGAATCCTGAAAATAAAAAAGTCAGAATTCTGTGATTAAAGTCAGAATTCTAAGAAAAAAGTCAGAATTCTGACTTTTTTCTTAGAATTCTGACTTTAATCTCAGAATTCAGACTGAATCCTGAAAATAAAAAAGTCAGAATTCTGTGATTAAAGTCAGAATTCTAAGAAAAAAGTCAGAATTCTGACTTTTTTCCCATGTTAAACTGAAATAAAATTTAAAAACTTTTTTTATTTTCAGAATTCAATCTGAATTCTGAAAATAAAAAAGTCAGAATTCTGACTGTGAATTCTGACTTTAATCACAGAATTCTGACTTTTTTATTTTCAGAATTCAGATTGAATTCTGAAAATAAAAAGTTTTTAAATTTTATTTCAGTTTAACATGGGAAAAAAGTCAGAATTCTGACTTTTTTCTTAGAATTCTGACTTTAATCACAGAATTCTGACTTTTTTATTTTCAGGATTCAGTCTGAATTCTGAGATTAAAGTCAGAATTCTAAGAAAAAAGTCAGAATTCTGACTTTTTTCTTAGAATTCTGACTTTAATCACAGAATTCTGACTTTTTTATTTTCAGGATTCAGTCTGAATTCTGAGATTAAAGTCAGAATTCTGAGATTAAAGTCAGAATTCTGAGAAAAAAGTCAGAATTCTGAGATTAAAGTCAGAATTCTGACTTTTTTCCCATACTAAACTGAAATAAAATGTAAAAATCAGTTAACTTTTTTTTTTTTTTTCCACTGGCCCTAATCCTCTTCCGTATATATATGTATATATATATATATATATGCGTGGCTTTGTGTATATTTCACCTACTCCCTACTCCATTCTTTTTTTATTTACTAAATATGTAATATTTTACTATAACAGTTTATAACAATTTTGTGCAAGTTTAAGTTTTATGTATTTGATTAAATGTTTCCTTTAACTGTTATTTCCTGTCTAAAATTTGGATGTCCTTTATCAATAGTGCTGTACACCTTTATTTGTTTGATTTCAAGAAATGCAAATGTCCCTTTTTTTTGCAGTATTACTCCTGAACAAAGTAATGTTAGAAAAGATGTACTGTAGTATGCCACTATAATTGTTAAAAACTGAAAGTTGTACCAATTTGTTTTACTATTTTTCTCCCTTATTTCTGTCATTAGTGACTTTCTCAGAAAATGGGTGGATGAACAGATGACAGCATCATGAAACTATTTTGGGCTTTAATGCATTGATCAAGCCTTACCTGGTTGATATGAATTACTTTAAACTTGGTCTAACTTGCCCAGTTAATCTGATTGCAGTTTTTTTTTTTTTACTTTTTTAGTTGATGTAGTAGTTTTGTATCCATTTAAAATTTAAGGGATTTAAAATACTGCAGCCTTTCTTGTCCAAGTAAAGACTGGTGAAATGCAAATCACTTTCATTGAGTGTCTTATTTTTAAGGAGCAGGTCCTGGAACGCTCCTTAATTATGTGTTCTGAGTTACAACACTAAGATGAAACATCTTTTGAATTAGTTTGTAAAGCAAACAGTAAAATACTGAATGATGGCAACTGGGTAGCTGGTAGCTAATTGCTCAACTGGTCTAAATTCCAAGATACTTTGTTTAAGCCTAACTTATTCAATTATTCTACACTCAGAGATGATTAAAAATATATTTTCTAATTGCACAATTAGAAAATACAAACATGTTCAGTTTTTGTTGTTATTAAGACGATCTTAGAGATAGATAAGCAAACAAATCTACCAAGAAAAAAACAAGTCAGAACTAAAAGTGATATCCTGATTAAAAATTATTCACAACACATTTTGGTCTGTAGAGCTTTTATTTTCTTCACATCCAAATGCAAAGTAAGATTCTTACTTTTCCCCAAACCCTAAAACCTCATCCTAATCAAATCTCTCTTTCCTCACGTTTACCCCATTTTCAATTACACCAGAACGCGTCACTGCACATGAATTAATCAGTCTTTATAGACTGAAAATGGTGGAACTTATTAATCATGTATAATACAAACTGGTAAGAAATATTTGTAGTATTTGACTTTTAGAACCTCTACCAACAAGACGAACATTTGTGTTGACCTTTGTACGGAGGAATAGTATTCTAAATGTCCTTATTATACTTGCATTTATTTAGCATGGCATTGCTATATCCTTTTTTATATTATATCCTATTTGCAGCTCTGTCTCAGAGAAAGAAGTAAACAGTTAAAATCCTTTCGAATGAGTGGTTTTTCATTTCTTTCTTTAATATTTCTGCCTTTCTCCTGTTTGCCCAGTCTGCCCAGTCTGCCCACTCCTGCAGTTCAATAATTACTTGGAATTCCAGTTCTGCTTGAATGAACTTTGGAACATTCTCAGCAGGGTGATCCTCGAGATTTATTGCTCACTTCTTTTTCTACAGGGCTTAGCTTTTCTTCTTTGGAAAGTCTGTAGATATTATTTGAAAACTGTAGCATATTCTCTGGGGTCTTGCCTTTATTTTGATACCAAAACAATTAAAATAAACTCTGTTGTTCTGTCATGATGGGTGTCACAGAGAGTAAGCCCAAGATGCAGAACACACACGGAGGCACTGGTAAAAGTCCAAAGAGTTTATTAAAGTCACAAGCACATGAATCACAGTTCAGGCAGGGGACTGATTCGCTGGGGTCTGTGCGGGGAAAGGGAGATGGCTGGATTTGAGCTTCCAGCTCACTGCAGGGAAACAACAGGGGAAATCCACATGGGAACCTCTTAGGGAAACTCCACAGGGGAAGTTGTCAGGTAGCATCCACGTAGAATTCTTGGGTTGGCTCACCAGGGCAGATTAGCAGGTTAGCTTTCCTAGAGCGTCAGGCTTGGGACTGGCTTCCTATGATGCAACTCTCCCAGAGCTGCAGGCCAGAGACAGGTTGCCAGAGAGACAGTTCTTCCAGAGCGTCACAAGGAAACAGGAGGTTAAGCTCATCCAGAGCTTTCACGAGGAGACAGGTGGCTAAGCTCATCCAGAGCTTTCACAAGGAGACAGGGGGTTAAGCTCATCCAGAGCTTTCACGAGGAGACAGGGGGTTTAGCTCATCCAGAGCTTTCACGAAGAGACAGGATTCCTGTGAGGAAGAGACAAGGAAGAATTAGAATCTGATCTCACACGAGAGATAACAAAGATTCATCTGTAACAGAGGCTCAGGAAGCTAACCAACTAAGATCAACACTGCGGCGTGGGATCAAGGTCAGGCAGGAGCTTATAAAGGAGAGGTCTGTGCAGGAAAGTACCAGCTCCAGAAGACCCACAGCGCATCCTGCTGGAGACAGAGGGTAATCTCCAGATCCCCACAGTAACTCCAAACCTAAGGGAAAAACAAAGAGAGCAGAAGAGGATCCTCGGCGCCCTCTGGTGGGCAAGCCTGAGGATCCCAACAGAGCCCCCCCCTCAAGGGCGGATTCCAGACGCCCCCTGAAAAAAAAAGTCCAAAAAACAACAAAAAACAACCCACTCAGGGTGGGCGGAGGGGGCACTAGGGTGAGGAGGGCCAGAGACAACAGAAAATAGAGTCCAGAAAACAAAAACAACCCACCCAGGGCGGGCGGAGGGGGCACTAGGGCGAGGAGGGCCAGAACCAACAGAAAAAAAGGTCCAACAAACAAAAAACAACCCACCCAGGGTGGGCGAAGGGGGAAACAGGCCAGGAGGGCAGAAAACAAAAACAGAGTCCAGAACAAAAAACGATCCACTTATGGTGGACGACAGCAAAAGAAAACCCCAAAACTTTCTTGGGCACAGTCTCTAGTGGCCGGCCGAGGGACCGGCAGCGGGACAGATTCTCTGGTGACCGGCCAAAGTACCGGCAGCAGGACACAGTCTCAGGTGGCCGACCAAAGTACCGGCAGCAGGACACAGTCTCAGGTGGCCTGCCATGGGGCCGGCTGCAGGACACAGTCTCAGGTGGCCTGCCATGGGGCTGGCTGCAGGACACAGTCTCAGGTGGCCTGCCGTGGGGCCGACGGCGGAGGCGTAGTTGCTGCTCAGGAGGTCGACCGTTGTGATGAAGGTGGAGCAGCGTCTTAGGGGGACCACCGCCGAGCCGGAGACAAGGTTGAGGTTCAGGAGGCCGGCAGCGGGGTCGAAGGCGACGCTGACACTCTGGGGGTCTGCCACGGGGTCGACGGTGAAGATGATGCTCCGGGGGTCTGCCGCAGGGCCGGAGGCGAAGCTGACGCTCTGGAGGTCTGCCGCGGGGCCGGAGGCGAAGCTGACGCTCTGGAGGTCTGCCGCGGGGCCGGAGGCGAAGCTGACGCTCTGGAGGTCTGCCGCGGGGCCGGAGGCGAAGCAGCTTATCAGGAGGATGACGCCCAAGCTTCAGCAGGTACCCCCACGGGGTACCCCGTCCCCTCCTCGGCAGCTCAGGAACAGTCTCAGAAACAGCCGCCGACTGCGGCTCAGGAGGAGGCTCTGAGGAGAACGCCGACTGCGGCTCTGGTGGAGGCTCTAGGGAGACCGTCGAGTGCGGCTCTGAAGGAGGCTCTGGGAGGACCATCGAGTGCGGCTCTGGAGGAGGCTCTGAAGAGGCCGCCGACTGCGGCTCTGGAGGAGGCTCTGAAGAGGCCGCCGACTGCGGCTCTGGAGGAGGCTCTGAAGAGGCCGCCGACTGCGGCTCTGGAGGAGGCTCTGAAGAGGCCGCCGACTGCGGCTCTGGAGGAGGCTCTGAAGAGGCCGCCGACTGCGGTTCAGGAGCAGGGGAGCCCGCCGATTGCGGCTCCCGATCAGGAACAGGGGAGCCCGCCGATTGCGGCTCCCGATCAGGAACAGGGGAGCCCGCCGATTGCGGCCCCCGATCAGGAACAGGGGAGACCAACGACAGTGGCTCCAACTCAGGAACAT